TTCCTTCCTTCCTTCCTTCCTTCCTTCCTTCCTTCCTTCCTTCCTTCTTCCCTCCCTCCCATAAACCTCAGTTTATGAGTTCATACCATGAAAGGTCTACATTGGGTAGGCTGAGACTGGAGAAGACTTAAAGAAATCCCTCAAACACATTTCATTTCCATAGCCTGCGTCAGAATAGGGTTAGCTTTGGGGAGGGTGACTGGTAGAGAGATATAAGAAAGACTTCTGAGTTCCTGAAATGAAGACAGTATGGGTCCTGTCACTTTTGAAACATGGAGAGGGGCTGAGGCACTCAGACAGCCATTAGTGCTATTAAAATATTAACATCCATAGAGGGAGAAAGAAGAAAGGGAAGAAGAGAGTGAGAAAGAAAAAGCAAAGATGCTAAAATGTCATCTTTTAGTAGATCAGGGTGACAGTTCTGTCCGTACAAATAGGGAGGCTGTTAGCTTCCAAAAGGATTGATTCTGCATAAACACTCGTTACACAAGAGCGACATTACTTAAAACATGAAGACCTGACAGAGGGGCTGTTACTAAGTCAAGGAAAGTGATGGTGTCAGGTCGGGGAATGTGGTGTCTGGAAACAGTTGGGAAGAACACATTTAAAGATGTTGGTATTTCTTGGCTTAAAGAAATGCTCCCTCAACCCAACTCCCCCCCAGCAAGCTAGGGTTCATTGATTTTTAAAGCTATAAGAAGGGGGACTACAGAGGCAAAAGGACAAAACAGAGGATGGTAGTGCAGTGGAAAGAAAAGAACATTTGATTGGAAATCAGGAGCCCTGGGTTTGAGTACTATTGCTTTTGCTAACTAGCTGTGTGACCTCAGGCAAATTGTTTTGCCTCTGGACTTTCTGAGTACTTGCCTGCAAAACAATGAGGTTGGATTAGATCACATGCTAGCTCTAAGGTTCTTTCAACTTGGAGGCTTGGAAGGTCAGCCACTGACTCATTCTCACTTCAGTCAAGTCCCATGCTTTCTCTAGAGCTCAACAGACAATTCTGAAACTGAGGATAATGCCATGTTTTACACATGAGGCAGTCCTGAGGCATAGGCAGCCACCTATATAATGTGATTTGAGGAGCACCCAAGGGTCCTGCCTGCTCAAAATTATTTCACCCATTAGTCTAGCTTGGTGCTGACATTCTAATAATCCTTGTGACTGGTAGTGCTACAAATAACATGGGGTACTAAGTAGTAGTATAGATACAGTGCTGAACTTACAGTCAGGAATTCAAATCCAGACTTACATACTTCCTATCTGTTTGACCTTGGGCATGTCACAAACTCTATCAATCTCAACTTTCTCATCTATAAAATGGATATAATAATAATAGCACCTACCTCATATGGTTATTGGGAGGATCAAAAGATTTAGCATGTGTAAAGCACTATGAAAACCTACATACATGCTAGCTATTATTAATAACAGTAGCTGTCATTTATTATTTGATTCCTCTATTTAGAGCAATATGCTAAGCACTGGGGAAGATAAAACATTCAGATGAGACAAAATCCCTGGGCTCAAGGAGCTCATGTTCTGGTAATGTCAACAGAGTAGCTTACATTTGTATACTAGCAATTTAAGGTGTACAAAGGACTTTAATTCATTATCTTATTTTATCTTTATGTTGCCTTTAGGTAGTGAAAGTATTATTACTCCTGTATTTATCACAAGTGAGGGAACCTGAGGCCCAAAGGGATTAAATGAAAAGACTGCCAGAACTAGCATACAGCAAATCTGGGGCTCAAACTCAGGTTTCTTCTGACTCCAGGTTCAGGGTACTCTCTATACAACATGATCCTATAATGAATTAAAGCATTATAGTATCTGGACAGGGTTAAAAGATCAGTGTAGTGGCTTAATTCACTGGCATCTATTGTCAAATAAGCATAATGGGACCCCAGGAGAATGAGGAACAGGATGGTGAGGTGTCGCTAGAGGTTGACAAAGGATCAGGAGGGAGCCTGTTTCATTGTAGTGGGGAATTGAGGTGGGTGCCCAAGGCAGTCTAAGAGCACTGACATTCTATTTGAAAAGCTCCAAAATAAACCTTGTCTCCTTCTACATCTTGCCAAAGACCAGCTCTAATCCTAGGATTGCTCTGGCCAACAATTTAAGGAAACTGCATGGTAGCATTTTGCAAAGAAAAAAGGCATTTTTCGAATGTAGCATGTAACACCCTGAACAAAGCCCACTGAACAGCAGGGTATGATATTTCAAAATGCTTCCCCAAAAAGATACTTAAGAGAAAGTATAGAGTCTGGCTATTTACATGCTTGATTTCAGAGGAATGGAGTTGTAGGCCCTAGATTACTGACTTTAAAAGTGGTAGGAAATAATAACAGTAGTAATAATAACAATAACTAGCATTCAGATAAAATTTTAAGGTTTGCGAAGTAATTTACAATTTTATTTTGTCCTCACAACCACTCTGGCAAGTAGGTATTTATTATCATTGCCATTTTGCAGAGGAGGAAACTGAGGTAGACAGTGGTTAAATGACTTGCCTGGAGTCACACCACTAGTAAATATATGAGGCAGGATTTGAACTCAGGCCTTCCTAACTCTAGGTCCAAAACTCTGTCCACTGTGCACCTAGTAGTCATTAGAGACTATCTAATCTAGCAAACTTGTTTCAGATGAAGAAACTAAGGCCCAGAGAGGTTAAGTGATTTGGCCAGGATCACAGAGGGAAGCAGAATATAACTGAGGTCTGAATAGGTCTGAATCCATGTCTTTGGACTCCTAATCCCTCTATTATTTCCCTCTATTATATCATACTGTTTCTCTGCTTGACTCCCATAGTTATTAGTTCTTACCTTTCTTATTCTGAGAAGCATAAAGCAGAAGAGTTGGTTAAAGCATAAGTAACCAAAGATCCCCTTTGCCGTATTCAAGATTAGAAGGGGTTGAGTTGGGAGGTAATGGTCCCCTTCCCTTTCAGTCTTCTTCCCCCTCCCCTATCTTCTAGCAAAAGCTGGTTGATCGCTCATCAGAAATGTAGAAGGATTCCGAGTCAGTTACGAGTAGTTCTGCATAACTTCTGAGATC